CAGAGAAATAAATTGTTAGCTTCCTGATGTGTTGGTTGTGGTATTATTTTTAACTTCTTCGAGCAGTTGTTTCAAAGGAGTTTGTGTGTACGTTAGGCACTTGGCAGTGTGAGTAGTCAGTATATTTTCCTATCTGATTATGCTGTGCGGGTGCGTGCTGCACTGACAGTTTATGGTTCCTCTTCCATATGCATCCTATCTTCCTGAAGATAGTGTTGGAGATGTCAGCTCTGTGAGGAGAGACTGATGAATTTATATCAGAAGAATCTTTTTTGTCTAGCAGCTCTTCAGCACAGCACTTTGTTCAGAATATCTCTTAAAAATAGAAAGTACTGGAGGAATATCAGCTTTGTCATGGTGATGTCGTTCATCATCAGTTCCCAAACTGATTTGGCTAATCCCTGGTATTAGTAGAAGAAAGCCTGAGTTGCCCACACAAGGTTCCCTGTGCCCCAGTTTTTAGAGTGCTTGGTGAGATATTTTGGATTATTGTTTTGGAGTCTACAGCCAGACTAGCACAAAGTGTGTGTACTCACTTAACTCATACCTAAGTGTGTTTTTCAGTAGGAGTGGAACTATGATGGTCTAAAAATTTCAGTTCTTCTGGAGATGAGACTTCCTTGTGTATTTATCTGCTGCAGGCCAATTTCATATTATCAAGGAGCAAGGGTCATACAACAGCATGAATCCAGCATCCAAAAAGAGCACAAAGATTGTTGCTTCCCTTTTTATTACTCCCTGTGCTTGGCTCAAGTTTCACCTCCCAGGTCTACTCCTCAAAACTGGGATGTTCCTGGAAAGGCTGTCACATCTAGAAGTTTTTTTTCCCACTGAATTGGTGGTTAAACTTTGGACAGTTTTATTATCCCTTTTTTTCATCCTGCTGAGTGCTTCATCCAATCAAATACTTCTGCATGTTTCCCTGTCACCCTATTTTTATGTCTTGTTTACCATACTGGCATTTTGCCTTATGGGTACAATGAATGGCAAGATATATTTTAGTACTGTGTTATTGCCTATAGGTACTAAATTACTGGTTTGATTGTTTTTATAGGCTGTTTTTATAGCACAACTTTAGGAGGCAGTCAGTCATGCTAACAAAGTCTGTATAAGGCACACCTCTTCAAATAATCTGGAATGATTTCCATGGAGCAATGATTACTTCCTCCTCAGAATAATCAAGAAACAGGAGTGGGATCAACACTGTTAAATGTTTATAGTTTCTTCTCCATGACTTTTAGACCTGCAGGTTGTAAACACCATTGAGAAGAATCACTGGTGCCCTCTTTATGTTGCCTTACGTGCACTATTGAAGTCAATAAAATTGTCACCAGGCCTCAGCATTCAGTGTTCTTGCTCATTTTCCCTGGGGATGTCTGCACTGCCAGCTTCACCATTTCCCCAAAACACTGATTTTGGGGTGTTACCACCTGCTCAAGCTTGGGAAGATCAGTGGCAACCTGGAGGCATGCAGGGCATGGCAGTGGGGGGCCAGGACATCAGGGAGAACCTATGGGGAACATCTTCAGGAGCATCCACATAATCCTGTTTCGTGCCCTGCATGTAGTTTGTTAAGAGCTTGTTTGACTTGGAACTTGTTAAGAGTTTGCCTTGGATCTTGTTACAAAACATGTAAATCATATCAAAAGCTGCACAAGACATAATTTTGCACCAGTATGTGCATCCCATCAAGCACGATTTCCTCCTGTCATCCCTTTCCAAGATACATTTGCACTTCAGCTCCAATATTTGGAGAGCTCTGGGTCTGCATAAAGCAGACTTTCTCATTCCCACAGAAGTCTGGTGTTTCTAAGACTGTTTTGTGCCGAAGCCCCTGACCTAAATAAGGTTAAGGATCTGGGCCACACAATTAGCACCCAATGCCAAGAAAGGAAAAGCTAAACTTGAGCCACCATTCCCCCCTTGGCCAGGGCTGCTCTGCATAGGTTGCTCTGTAGTCCTCTTGCATCCTTGTGCTGTAAAGGCCATTCTTATGTGCAGACGTCTCCGAGCCTGGCACGCAGGGGTCCTCTGTGACTGAGGAGCTTTCAAAACTCCTTCCTGCATGTCATTGTGCAGCTAGGAGCTGGGATTGCTTCCAGCTCACTGAAGACACTCCGACATTGTTCCCTCCTAATCCCCTCCTTCTCCCAGAGCATGGTTTTTCGGAAGGCTAGCATGTTCCCTTGCTGGCTTTCCAGGCGGGAACACAAGCGGCGGTTCCTGGGAATAGCGTAACCCTGAATTAGCGATGAGCCAAGGCAGAGGGCGGCTGCATGGTGTGATGGTGGGATGAGCCCTTGGCTCTGTGCTGTGTGAGGGAGGATGCCTGGCTAGCCAGGCTGGCTTGTGGCTGGGCTCCATTGATCTGCTTGCTGGCTTGCCAACAAGAAGCACAAATGTTCAGCAGTGGTGGGGATGGGTTTCAGCAGGAAGAAATGCTCCCCCATGAAGAAATGTTCCCCCATCCCCCTTCTTGCAGCCACTCTGAGGTTGATCCACACCTGGTTTGCTGTTTCATTTGTGTGCTGGTAGCCTGGGGAAATAAAAGCAGGTTAATGGGACAGGGAGGAGGGTGCTTTCTACTGAAGTGGCTTTTTTTTCCCCCAAACCCAGATACAAGCAGAGAGAGAGAGAGAGAACAAGGTAATGAATAAATAGAAATATTCAGATGTCTTTACAAGGGCATCTTTCAGTGCAGGGATTTGACCTTGGAGATTTGGATTGTGTCATTTATAAGATGGTGGCCTGAAGGTGTGGCTCCCAAAGACTTTGCACATTCCTCAAGGCATTCACTGGTCCAAAGGGAAAGAAAAGTAAAGGGGATTTATTCCAGCTAAGTTCTGTCACTTTTTCCTGCCTTCTAGCAGGTCAGGATTACAGGTGAAATTAGAACTTCTGGAACATCTGGCTGTGCTGCTGTTTCACTCTGCTGCTCCTTCTGATGTCATTAGCTGTGTGTATTTGGAGCACTGAAGGAGATATTTAAGGAGAGGGAAGCTGGGATTTTTTCAGGTTTCCTTCATATGATGAGAACCTGTAAACATCTATAGCCATGAGCACCAGCCAGCATGACTAAATTAATGCACCCTAATTAATGGTGGATCTATGGTGGGTCCTATCTATTCCCTAAATAGATGTTGGAGCCTCCTTTGCAGTGTCAGGCTCTAACTTTGAAGTTTTTCCTCTTAGCAATAATGAAAAATGGTGAAGATAGTTTCTGAAAAAATAGCAGAATGAACTTAGAGCTACACTTAACAACTTTGCAGGTCTGATGTGATCTGTGGTCTCACACATTTTGCTTTCATCCCTCAGAGCATGTCCTATAGAAAAGGCTATGTTCCTGGGAGACAGGACAGCTAAAGTGGGAGGTGGATAGTCAGTCAAATCCCACAATGATATGCATGATCTTAGATTGGATATTAGGAAAAATTTCTTCACTGAAAGGGTTGCCAAGTATTGGAAAAGGCTGCCAGCCGAAGGGGTTGAGTTGCCAACCCTGGAGGTGTTTAAAGGATGTGTAGATGTGGTGCTTAGGGGCAGTTTCAGTGATGGACTTGGTGCTGTCAGGGTAATGGCTGGAGCTGGTGATCTTGCAGGTCTCTTCCAGCCTAAGCATTTCTCTGATTCTATGGGTTGCCACTGTGAGCTTTGGGTCACATCCTGGTGTGACGTAAAGGGCGCAGCTGTCGGAGACACATGGCTCCACCTCCTCCAGCTAGCCCACATCCCTTTACCTCACATCCTGTAGACACGATGGGTATTTCCCTTCTTGAAAGAGGGCTTTAAAGCATTATTGTGTTTTGGGATGGGGGTAGGGCAGGGAGGAAATCAAAAGCCCAGCATGCTGGCTTTGCTGACTTAGGAAATTGGATGGTTTGCCTTGTGAGGGATTTCTTCAGTGCAGAGCTGGTTGTGAAGTGGTGGTTTGTGGCAATGTTGACTAATTCATGTTTTCCTGCCAGAGGAGGGGTAGAGTGATCCCAACAAAATGTTGGTTCTGCCTCATGGGGTAACACAACTCCCTTTGCACGTTGTCTTTGTATCTGTGCACACACAGGTTGCCCCTGCTTGCTCATCAGAACAGGTTATCTCTCTGCTTCTGGCTGTGGTCAGCAAACTTCAGCTGGTGGGAGGTTTTATAGTGACCCAGGCTCTGGGAAGAGCACCCTGCCATCCTTTTGAATGAAGGGAGGAGCATCACTGCTGAAGATCTGTTCCAGTGTTAGCTCAGCCTCTTCTGCCCATGCTGACTACTAAAATGTGTAATTTTTTTGCCTGAACTATTTGTGCTTTTCTCTGAAGAGGAGAAGGACAATTTAAAATTCTCCTTTCTGCTCCCTTCTTCTACCCCACTTTTCTGGGAAAGCTGTCCTTAGTATTTTCCTCTGTGCTTATATCATGAGATATGTAACATATGTTGTGATCTCATCCCGATGCTCTCCTAAAAGAGGAAGGCACGACTGCAGCCTCTGTAGCCTTTCTTCCCCAAGAGTACTGCTTCTTTCCTCATCCTCCTGTGTCTCTACATGGTCATTTGTACCTCTGTCCAAGTGAGACCACCTAGTCTTGTCATCACTGCCTTCCTGAGCATCCTTGGTAAGAGGTTGACTATGATCTATGGTGTCACCCAGAGACCCATCCTACCTCTTTGCTCCATTAAGGGTCATTTTTATGTTTCCTCATGCTCCTGTCCCCAAGGATGGTGCTGCTTAATGGTGACCTTACTGAGATGCCAGGATTGCCATCTTGCAGTCAGCTTTTTTATTCAGTGAAGTGACTGAATGCTGCTGTACCTGCTCTCTTTTCATCATCTGTGACATGGCCAGTCTTTTCCTGAATATTGGAGTTTCAGGCATTGGGGAAGCAGTTGTGATTTTCCTTACTGGCTTATATGTATATGCCACAGCAGGGTTATCATTTGCTCAGTGTTTTATTGACTAGCCTAGTGAAGCCAGTGAGCCTCTAAGGGGCCACAGGCATTTCAGCTGTCGATTAAGACTCAGGAAGCCCCAAGTGCCTGATTGACATTGTGTATAAGAGGAGCCAGCCTGATGGGGCACTGTGCCTTCCCAGCTGCTGTTCCATGGACTCCCCTTCATCAGGAGAAAATGTGGATGTGGAGGCTTTCCTTCTTCTGGGTATCCTGGCCACCTGGACTGCAAACCAACATCAGTCCCACTGAAGTGATTAATGTGTCTGGAAGCTTCAGTACTCTTAATGTGTGCTGCACATCTGCAAAAACCTGGAATGCTTAGCCAAGGTGAATGGAAAGGAGAAATGGCTTCTGCCTCCAAACCCCTTCTCCTTTTTGAACCTTGAGTTATGGAGCAATAAACAGGAAAAGGAATGAAATCGCCTTTTGATGCTGTGCAGGTATGCTAGAATTATGCCCTATTAAAAGTTCAGTAAACTCTATTAACCTTTCTTACACTGCTATAACTTGCATAACATCAGGAACTTCTTTGCCTTACAGTAGTACAGAGGCTGTGTCATGTGTGTGCTATTTTTCTCTTTTCTCTGTAAAGCAAAAAAGACATGCTGGTTTTGCTTAACCAAGGGAGATAAGAAAACTTCCTCTTATTCAGTCCTGTGGCAATGCAATCCCAACCCAATACTATCCAGCTGAATTTAACCATGTGGAGACAGCTGCCTTTGGCAATTTTTATTTTTATTAGTGAGAGGGAGTGAGAGTCAGTGTTTCCTCTCTTTCAGTGTGAATCCTAGTAACCCCTAAGATGTCTGGCTGGATCCCTGCCTGTGCAGGGTTATTTCAGTTCAGGCAGTGCACACTGCTGCAGCTTGTGGCAGGCTGCATCCACTCACAGGCAAAGCGCCTTAAATCTTTGCCCTGCACACACTGTGTAGCGCAAATAAGAAGATGCTGAGAATCATGTGTTTAACAAAATCTTCTTTCCATGGCTCTTTGAAGAGCTTTAAAAAGATTTATTTTTTTTTAAATCCCCAACAAGCTCACAGTCTTTTAAAATTAGAAGGATTCAGGATTTTACTTTTAAGTTTACCTGTACCCTCTCTAAAGAAAAACCTTTGGTGACAAAGCTGACACAGCAGAATCGTGTTTATTGTCCACTATTATGCATCTGGTAAAGCAGATATGACAAGTCCTCTTTTCTTTAGACCTTAAATCTTTCCTTTTTTTCTTAGTGGATACTAGCAGGCTGGTTAAATAGAATTCCTCCGCAGATGGAGTCCTCTGTAATTTATGTAATAGTCATTTCTACAACTTTTTATTGTAACTGGTTACATACCTGCATGCTGGCTGTGCGCTGCAGCAGTTGTGACAGTTTGCAGACATCAGTGTTTATTGAGAGCTCTGAAATAAAATGAATGCCCCTTTACATCCTCCCAGCCTTTGTGATTTCTTAGGTGTTCTGCTTTTGGTTTGAACTTTTATTTATTCTGGCTTATTTTTAAAACAGCATATGGCCATTTAGGATTAAGCTGCAGCTGTTCAGTGTTTGGGGATTTATTTGATGCCCTTTGAGAAAGAAACAGACTTCTGTTGCTTAACAGGGCCTTGCTGAGAAGAAGACTGACACTTCCTGTTGCTCTCCTGGGCTTCTAAACTACCACTTGTCATCCACCAGGTTTTTCCTCTGCCTCCATAATTAATCCTCTGAAAACCAGGGCTTGCAATTTGTAATCAAGATTCTAGCTAGGAGGAATTTGACTAAACTGTGGCGGGGGACAGGGAGGAGGAAGGGGGGCTACGACAAAAATCAGAGGAATGATCCAAATAGTGAGGAGTAAATGCTGAAGTAGTGAATAATGCATTAATGCTGTCCTTAAGTGGGAAGTAGGAGCCCTGTCCACGATATAATTAGCACTTATATAAATATATGCATTCCTGCACTGTAAAATGTCTAAATGAGGAACTAAAACATGAGGTGGTCTAAGTGGAGCAGACTGTGGCTGGGAACTGTAGCCACTCTGGGTCAGTCCCACCTCGTTTCTGACACGATGCTGCATGAGTGCACTCACTTCTCTGTGGCTTCAAGCACACTCTGATCTGTGAAGAAGAAGCAGCACATGTCCCTGAGATCTCCTGCTAGCTTCTTGTTACTCTTTCTCAGCACCCAGAGCTGATCCAGGTTAATCTGGGAGCTTCTTGTCTGCCAAGTAAATTGGCTTCACTTAACCAGCTGCTGAATACAGCTTGCTGAGCAGGAGTAGTGACTGCTCAGACCATGGTGTCTGCAGCTGCAGGAGACAGCCAGACTATGCCCTGGCTATTTGGGCCATCACCGCTTGCTGCCTCTGTAGAGCATGTGCAAGTCCACAGGGAATGGTGTATGGAGACATTAACTTGAAATTACCCAGGCAGGAGAGCTGCTGTGTGGTGGGAACATGGCATGGGGTGAGTTTTCTGAGTGGTCACCTATGGAATTTGATCAGTCCTGCTGCCCAGTGAGGGAGATAGAGCCCTGCCATGGGGTCAGCCCAGGAGGGTGGATGTGGCCAGCATGGTCCTGGTGCTGGCACTGGGAGCAGGTGCCTGGGCAGTGCTGTTGTGTTTCAACATGATGCTGCTCTGCCTGCCTTGTTCAGCTGTGCTGTACTATTCCTTATCAAATTCAGGGGCACTTGGAGACTGACACTAATTCTCATTTGTTTGCTTTTTATTTGTTTGAACACTCTGACAAAGGCAGGGGTTCTGTTGGCTATAAAGTCATGACTCATGCTCTTGAAATTGTAGGAAGTGCTCTAGGAATTACATGGGATTCTGGCTTCATTGCTGTTCTGCCCATTCACCTGGAGTTTCAGGAGGCTCCACTTCGATGGCATTCCTCTTGAGCTTCCACAGGACATGGCTTTTCCTTAGGACCAAGGGGAAACTGTGAGCTGTCATGCTTCTGTGCACAGACCTCTGCTGCAGGGAAACGTTTACTAGGCAGGCTGCTGTGCACAGTGTTTGTGCAGACATTGACCAAAAGATCTGCTTTTGTAACAGTGCCAGTTATCACAGGCAGTATAAACTTCTGTGTGTGTACACATTTAACACTCTTGATTTGAAACTTACTCTTCCACATACAAGTATTCCACAATTTAAAACTCCCAGTGATAACTTCCATCACAGAAACTTAAGATTTTTCCTCTTCTCTAGGAGAAATAGATCACTTTAATGAGGCTCCTTAACTGATGGAGTTTGTCCTGATCTCAAAGTCATAAGATACTAGAACAAAGAGGCTGCTGTGATAAGTGAATGTAAAGTAACTCAACTGTGCTATTTGCTAAGCACATTATACAACAAGGGGAAAAACCTTCTGCTGTGCTTTAGTCAAGGAAACTTTTAACATGGCACATTAATAAACCCAAGCCAGAAAATGGCACACAGTTTAGGACTAGGCAGGAGCTCAAATAAAGGATTAGTTGTCCTCCACCTACCTCATTCCTGGGGTGTGACTGATTTGACTGTGGTCTCGTCGTTGGTGAGACATCCCTTTTGTGTATCTTTTGGTCAAATATTTCACAACAGCATGTCATCTGCTGTGGAGGGCAGCTTCAATCTTGACAGCAGGCTGCAGCCCAGAGAGCCTGGGAACCACCAGAGGAGATGCTTACATGGACAGAGGTTATGTCCTGTTGTCTCCTGTTATGAGAGATGAGAGCAGCAGGGAAAGTGGAAAAACCCTCTGCCATCCTTACCATGTGTCTTTAAAGCATCTGGCACAAGCTGCTGTTGGGGCAGGGGAAAGAAAAACATTACTTGACCCCTGTATCTGGTAAGATAAGCCTGTTCCTCTGTCAACAAAGACCGTTTGTGGCAGCAGATATTTGCCATGCAGGATAATTATCCTTTATGATGAGTAATAAGTTATTATGCTGTATAAGAGTGTGTAATTTGAGGGAGTGGCCACTGTAGCAGATGGTAGCCCTTGAATCCAGAAGATCCTGAAGAAACTCAGCTGTGTCACTGACCTTGTGAAGCTCGAATGGTAGCCCATAGCTCAGCACTGCAGGTAAAATAACTCCCTGCTTTACAAGTGGGCAGTTGGTTGGTTTGGGATCTTTAAAACAGGCATTAAAAGAAGCTTCCTCAGTCAGAAGCTGGTGCAGCACTGGAAGATGTTATCTCAAGGTCTTGGTGTTTTAGAGGTTTTCAAGACTACAGCTGACCTCATGGTAGCCCTGAGTTGAGGACACTGCTGCATCAAATGGTCTCTTTTGACCAATGCTCTTGTGTTTGTGGCTCTGCAGTACTGTAGAGACAGGCACACAGGATTTGGTTAGTAGAAGTGTCTTATCTTTGCCACACACAGTCTTAAGGAATTTTCTGAGATGCAGTGCAAAAAGTGAAAGGTAGCAGCCTGTGGAAATAGGCCATAGTCTGCTTGACTGCATGTTTGCATTGCTTCTACTTTCTTTTTGCATGGTCTGTCCCTTCTGCTTGGTGTATGTCTGCCAGCAAACTGAGCAGAGGCTGGTTTGAGGACAGCTGTTGGCCGGGAGAGTGTCGACTCAGCCAGTTTTTCTGACTTTGAGAGCTGAAGACGGATTGCATTTGCTCCTGGATTAGAGTTACAGCTATGTGATGCATCCACGGGAGGTTTAAATCCCAACCTTTCCGTGTTACTCCGATACTCGGAGCACAGGCTATATGCGGTTGTGGCTTTTGGCTAACCAGAGGCTTAAGCTTCACATAACCCTCATCACACTTCAAAGTCATTACTGAAGTACAAAACAACTGGACTGATAGAAAGACTGTCTGCTCTGTTATTTGGGTTAAAGTTATATAAATGGCACTCCAAATGCCCCATAAGCTAAATTCCCTTTTCTAATGCAGTATCATGTGATGTTGTAGATGAAGCTGATAGGATACTTTTGTTAATTAGCTCTTGGAAAGAAGGCTTTTAACTTCTTACCCTTATTTGACAGGTAGTTTTCTTATCTAATTTGTGCTTTCTGTGGGCTCTTGCAGATGCAACCTCGGTATTGGGTGACTGTTGTTTTCTCGCTACAATATTCTTTGCATTTCTGGCAACGCAAGAGTGTAGTGTTACATCAGTGTAAACAAAATTCTTTATGGCTTAAGATCAACACCACTTGTAAATAGAAGTGAAGACTGACAGAAGGCTGAGATGTTTTCTGTGCCTTTTCTGACATTTAAAGGCTTGGGTGCAAGCAAGATGGAGGAGTATCGTCTTCACTGGTATGCAAAACTGATTTTCTGCCTTTGCTGCCTCTGGCCTGCTCCTCTTCACAGTTTTCCATTTCTTCACTTTTTGTTTTGGACTGTGCAATTTACCTCTGTTTTAGGAGGGTGAGTATTCATGTTCATTCAAAGCTTGGGTTGCTCTGTTTTCAGTAACCTTTGCGTGGGCTAGCTGAGTGACAGTTTTGAGGAATTCTCATCT